GGACCCAGATTGTTGGGGGCAATATGCTGACTCTCTGTAAACCGCTTAGAGAGGCCTGAAAGGCCTATGAAGTGGTATATAAGTCTACTGCTATTCTATTGCTTCTATATTATGAGAAGCGCGCTGGAAAGGATGCTGCCAAGCACCGAAATTTTGAACATACCCACATGGAATAAATAGGATGGGAAGGGACCTTGGAGGTCATCTAGTCCCAAGCAGGAGACCCTGGCCTAGACCCTTCCGGTCATATGGCGGTCCAGTCTCTTCTTGAAAAATGGCAGATAGTGAGCACTCACAACTTCACAACACCCACACAACACGCAACCATGGCAATGCTGCGATGGTTGTAAGTGCGAGGACTGGCCCTAAGTGACTTTTTCAGCACTGTTGTAACTCTGAATGGTTGCTAAATGAACGGTCCTAAGTCGAGGACACCCTGTAAGTGTGTCACGGGTCCTGCCCTCCATCCTACCTCGCTTGCTGGATAAGTGGTATCAATGCGACAGGAGAGGAAGCGTAGAGGGTCCTTGACTTACGACCACAATCGAGCCCATCACTTCTGTTGTTAGAAGTGTTTCTCAACCTTGTCAACTTGAAGATGTCTGGACTTCAACTCCCAGAATTCCCCAGCCTGCTGGGGAATTCTGGGAGTTGAAGTCCAGACATCTTCAAGTTGACAAGGTTGAGAAACACTGTGACATATATAAAAATGAATTTTGCCTCGTTTTACGGCCTCTCTCGCCACAGTTGTCAAGGGAATCCCTGCAATCGTTAAGCCAGTAACCCAGTCGCTAAGTGACCCAGCTTCCCCCATTGACTTGGCTTCGCAAAAGGGGATCCTGGTACATGCAACCGTCATAAATATGAGTCAGTTGACCAGAGTCTCAACTTTGATCACGTGACCACGGGGAATCCTGCAACGGTCACAAACATTTTAAAAATGGTCCCAAATCGCTTCCCCCCCCGGTTCCGTTGTAACTCTGAGTGGCCACTAAATGAACCGTCGTAAGTCAAGGAATACCTGTACACCCTTTTCAAAACAATGAAGAAGCTCAGCCTGGCCGCTGGGCTTTCCCACGCGGAGAGCAGGAGCCCAGATCCCCAGAAGCGACTTCAAGCCCTCCCAATCTGACTTCCTCCTCAGGTGGCTTCCCGAGTCGGCCCGTTGGCTCCTCATGAACAACGAGCGGGAGGCCGCACTGCGCAACCTACAGCACGTGGCCAGGATTAATGGGAAAGCCGCGGCGGGGGAAGCTGTGGTGCTGGAGGTGAGGAGCGGAGAGGTTTCTCTTGAGGTTCAATGCATCCCCATAGCTGGCTCTCCAGGGGTTGGCCTGGCTCTTCTCAACTGGGACTATGGCTCCTCAGCCTCGGCCACTTTAGGATGAGTGGACTTCAGATCCCAGAATTCCCAAGCCAGCATGCTGGGAAGCACTGGTTTAACTCTATCCCTCCACCCCTCCCTCCCTCCATCCCTTCCTCCTTCCATTGATCCATCCTTGTTTCTCAAACTTGACAATTTAAAGATCTGTGGCCTTCAATTCCCAGAATTCCCCAGCCAGAAAATTGAGAAGCATTGATCTAATTCTACCCCTCCACCCCTCCATCTATCCATCCCTCCATCTATCCATCTCTTCATCTATCTACCTATCCATCCATCCATCCCTGTTCCTCACCTTCGGCCACTTTAAGATGAGTGGACTTCAAATCCCAGAATTCTTTAGTCAGCATGTTGAGAATCATTGATCTATCCCTCCATCCCTCCATCCATCCCTCCATCCCTTCCTCCCTGTTCTTCACCTTTGGCCACTTTAAGATGAGTGGACTTCATCTCCCAGAATTCCCCAGCCAGCATGTTGAGAAGCACTGATCTAATTTACTCCATCCATCCACCCATCCATCCATCCATCCATCCATCCATCCTTCTCAAACTTGACAACTTTAAGATCTGTGGACTTCAACTCCCAGAATTCCCCAGCCAGCATGTTGAGAAGCACTGATCTAACTTACTCCATCCCTCCCTCCACCCCTCCATCCCTCCATCCCTCCATCTTTCTCAAACTTGACAACTTAAGATCTGTGGACTTCAACTCCCAGAATTCAACTCCCACCCTGGCTAGGAATCTCTGGGAGTTGAAGCCCAGACATCTTCTGTGCATCTTCTGAAATCCACGTGGACTCCTGAACACCACAGAACTTCTCATCTGGGCCATTTTCTTGGACAACAAGATGGAAGCAGGGAACTCTTCTCTGTTTCTGGAATAGTTTCTCACCTCCTGGTCTAACATACATTCCTAGGATCCTAGGATGGTCTCCTAACCAAGTGCTAACCAAGTCCAACTTCGCTTGGCCTGGGGACCAGTCAGAGCAACTATATTTTATACCAAGGGGGTCTACAAAGTTGGCAACTTTAAGACTTGTGGATTTTAACTCCTCATGCTAGCTGGGGAATTCTGGGAGTTGAAGTCCACTCCCAGTGCTCAATGTTGAGAAACACTACTCTACACACAAAAACTGTTGCATTCATTCTTGTGTAATCCCTTCTTCTCCCCACACAGATGCTGGAGACCCAATCGGGGAGTAATTCTCCAGGACGTGGCAACCACTCTTGCTTGGACCTCTTCCGCACCCCTGGACTGAGACGCATCAGCTGTTGTCTCATGCTTGTCAGGTATGGTGAAAACATCATCAAAGGAAGGATGGACGAAGCAGATCCATCTTCTCCAAAGACGAGTTCCTTCTCAGATGGAGAAGATGGCAACGTCCATCTTCTCCAGCCAATGAGGAGACCCTCAATCCAACACCAGCATTTCTTATCAGTTGTAGGATTCCACTTAAACAACTTCTAACCCAATATTTGTCCTTCTCAGTTTCTCCATGAACATGGCCTATTTTGGGCTCTCCATGGACCTCTCCATGTTCGGCATGAACGTCTTCTTGGTGCAGCTCTTCTTCGGAGCGACAGACCTGGTGGCCAAGATGGTCTGTGCTCTGTTGCTCAGCTACGTCGGCCGACGCATCATCCAATCCGTTTCCCTCATCCTAGCAGGAATGTTCCTTTTGGTCAGTCTTCCTGTCCCTTCTGGTAAGAAGAAACAACGAGAAGGAATGTCCAACTTCAGGGGGTCTACTAGCAGTTGTAATTTACTCCCTTCTAGCTATGTTTGAGGGATAAGACATGATCAAGAGCAGTGTTTCTGAAGCTGGGAACTTTAAGATGTGTGGACTTCAATTCCCAGAATTCCCTAGCCAGCCGTGCTGGATGGATGGATGGAGTTAGATCAATGCTTCTCAACATGCTGGCTGGGGACTTCTGGGAGTTGAAGTCCACACATCTTAAAGTGTCAAGTTTGAGAAACAAAAATAAATGGATGGATGGATGGATGGATGGATGGATGGATGGATGGATGGATGGATAGATGGATGGATGGATGGAGAAATGGATGGATAAGATGTGTAAAATCTACACATCTTAAAGTTGGCAAGTTTGAGAAACAAAAATGGATGGATGTACAAGAATGGATGGATGGATAAAGGGATGGATGGATAGATGGATGGATGGAGGAAGGAATGGATGGATGGATGGATAGAGTTAGATCAGTGCTTCTCAACATGCTGGCTAGGGAATTCTGGGAGTTGAAGTCCACACATCCTAAAGTTGTCAAGTTGGAGAAATAAGGATGGATGGAAGGACGGACAAGAATGGAAGGATGGATGGATGGAAGGATGGATGGATGGAGGAAGGGAGGGAGTTAGATCAGTGCTTCTCAGCTTGCTGGTTGGGGAATTCTGGGAGTTGACATCAACACATCCTAAAGTTGTCAAGTTTGAGAAACAAGAATGGATGGATGGATAGATGGGTTGAATGATGAAGGAAGCAATTGATGGATGGATGAAGGGATGGATGGATAGATGGGTGGATGGAGGAAGAGATGGATGGATAGGTGGATGGAGGGAGGGAGGGATGGAGGGATAGGTGGATGGATGGAGGGAGGGATGGAGGGATAGAGTCAGATCAGTGCTTCTCAACATACTGGCTGGGGAATTCTGGGAGTTGAAGTCCAAACAAGTCGCCAAGATTGAGAAGCACCGGCCTACATTGAGAGAAAACTAACCAGGTTATGCTTTCAACCCACCATTTCTTCCAGATATGCTGACGTTGCGTCTTGTCTTTGTGGTTCTGGGTAAAGGCTGCTTAGCAGCATCTTCCATGTGCCTCTACCTGTACGGAGGGGAGCTCTTCCCGACGGTGATCAGGTAAGCCGATCGGTGGAAACCACATTGTGGGAGAGAGTCGCTCTTGGAAATCCAGCTCAGGTTCCCCTTTCAGACACATCCTGGCTCCTTTTCTAGATCCAGCACCCTAGGATTCTCCTACCATATTCATGACCCAGCAAGCAGGGGATGATAGGAGTTGTGGTTAATGACCCTGGAGGACCTCTGCTTGGCCTGTCCCAAAAGGATCAATCTAGAATGGAAGAAACCGGCCCTTGAATCTCAGCATGCAGCGCACTAGGCCAGTTTCTTACCTAACAACTTATCAAAAGGTGGGTGCTTATCAGCCTTATCCTGAAAGACTTTGGCAGACTTCTGTTGGACTCTTCACAGAGTCATTATGAATCATTACGGACTGTGAAGGAACATAATTCCCAGAATTCTGGGAGGCTAGCTGGGGAATTCTAGAAGTTGAAGTCCACACCTCTTAAAGTTGCTGATGTTGAAAAAATACTGCATTGCTGTTCTGACCTAGGATTCCTGAGACAGTAAAAAGCACACGCTTAGTCCCCAAAACCCTCCTTTTATTTCGACGGCTGGGAATGATGTTCATTAACAGTCTGTAATGAATCACAAATAGTTTGTAAAGAGTCCGACAGAAGTCTGCCAAAGTCTTTCGGGATAAGGCTGAGAAGCCCCCATCTTTATCTTCCTTGAAACGCTGCCAAAGACCTAACTAGCAATTAGCTTGGCAAGGTCACACGGAGCACAGAGTCAAAACGGAGTTTCTGACTTGAAACCGACCAGCACGAACCGTTGCTTCCTGCAAAGGCTCACGTCCGTTTGCTCCTCCTTTAGTCTAATGGGACGGGCCAATCATCTCCAAGTCTTACTCTTGAGTCACCCCTTTTGTTTTAACTGTTCTTGCCTTCTGGCAGCTCTACGCATGCGGGCACTGGGAACAGGCTCCCCCTGTTCCTCTGCCTCGCTGGTGTCCACCTCTGGAGGCTCCGGAGGCAGCACATAACTTCCAGTTGGCCCTGCCCCCCCCGCCTCTGATTCAGAGCCATTTCATCCACCTGGTGGAGAAACATGGCCCAGGTGACTCAGCCTAGCCTACCTCACAGGGTCATTGTGCAGGTGAAGAGGACAAGGTAGCACCAGTGAGGGGGGCTTTAAAATGATCTCTTGTGGGTTTTCCTTGCCAGGCAAACAGGCAGCAGCTTCACTACCGTCATGGCTCGGCTGGGGGGCATCATTGCCCCCCTGGTGTTGATGGCCGGGGACTACCAGCCTTTCCTGCCCCTGGTGATATTTGGGGTGACGCCCATTGTGTCTGGCGTTTCTGCGGTCTTTCTGCCTGAAATGTTTAACGTCCCCCTGCTGGACACAGTGGAAGAGGTTGAAGAGAGGTGAGTCCCCTTCTCCATTGCTTCCTTCTCTTTCCCCCCGAGTCCTTCTTCCATTCTAATCTGTATTCTATTTCTATATTTCTATTTCTCCTCTCATTTTCATTCTATTGTTTTCCTTTTCTTCTCTTCTCTTCTCATTTCTGTTCTGTTCTATTCCTATTTATTTTCTATTCTACATTCTATTCTATTCTATTCCTATTTATTTTATATTGTGTTGTATTGCATTTTATTGTATTCTGTTCTATTCTATTCCTATTTATTTTATATTCTATTCTATTCTTTTCTATTCTATTCTATATATTACTTTATTTTATATATTATTCTATTCTATATATTACTCTATTCTGTTTTGTTCTAGTCAATCAATTAATCAGAATAGAGTTAGAAAGGACCTTGGTCTTTTAGTCCAACCCCCTGGTCAAGTAGATTTATTCTATTCTATTCTATTCTAGTCTAGTCTAGTCTATTTTTATTCTACATATTATTCTATTTTATTCTATTCATTTTACATTCTATTCTATTATGTTATATTCTATTCTTTCTCTATTCCATTCTATTTTTATTCTACATGTTATTCTATTCTATTCTATTCTATTTTTATTCTACATGTTATTCTATTCTATTCTATTCTATTCTATTCTATTTTTATTCTACATGTTATTCTATTCTATTCTATTCTATTCTACTATTCTATTGCATTGCATTGCATT